TAATCTTTATCAATGACTTGCCAGAACAAATCAAGGCCGAAAAATCCTTGTACTCTGATGATCTAGCAATATGGCCGAGTCATGAAAATGTAGAAAGTGGAGCCCAAAGACTAAATGGAGACCTTAGAAGACTGCATGAGTACTGCCAAAGATGGAAACTAAAAGTTAACTATACAAGACGGTCTACACAATCTTTACCAAAAGCCATCAAGTAGCAATGAAGGATATTAACTTGAGGTTAGACAAACACCAAGTGATGTAAGAAGGGCATCCTACATACCTTGGAGTCACACTTGACCGGCAGCTCAGCCTCAAGAACCATATTGAAAACATAAGGAATAAGGCATTGAGGTGGATACAGTTATTAAAGAGACTTGCAGGTACAGCATGGGGATCAGACAAGGAAACTCTGAGGGGCTTATATCTTGAATATGTTCAATCTGTGATAGAGTACAACAACTCCCTGCTTACACCCTGCTCCAAAATTAACCTTGAGACTCTTGACAGAGTACAAAATAATGCCCTCCGATTAATCTGCAGAGCTTTGCGGTCTACCCCAACTGCTGCATGTGAAATCCATACAAATGTGAACCTCCGAGTTGCGGAGAGAAAAAGCCACTTCAGAAATTTATGAAAGATGCCTTAGAATAAATCGTAACCATCCTAATAGACACCTTGTAGAAAACTGGGACTACAAACAAAGAATAAAGCACAAATCGGTTTTATACTGTTCATGAAATTCAGGACAGATACTACCTGCCAGAAAGTTGTCAAGGCATTCAGAATGTTGCAAGAAACCTACCACCACATGCTCGCTTCAAAGCTCCAGAAGTCCGAATTAAATTGGTAGGTGAGGAAACCAAACAGTCTGACCCAATCGCTTTAATGAACTCATCGCTAAAGACCATTGATTCTTACCCCCAAGAATGGATACATGTTTATACTGATGGATTAAAAACTATAATTAAAGCAGGTTATGGAATCTACATAGGTTATCCCGATGGATCTGTTGAAGAGATTTTTGATGCATGCAAGGAATTCTGCTCAAATTATGAAGCCGAAATAATTGCACTGGAAACAGCAGTATACCACCTGAAGACTGTAATGGATGTTTACTCTTCAAATGCCCAAAATATTGTCATCATCACAGATTCAATGTCTGCCCTCCAAGCTCTGGAGGGCAGTGAACGCTGCAGAACTGACATAGCCAAGATAATCCTGGATGCTGATCAGCTCATTACCTCATACAGCATTAGAATAGTGATGCAATGGATTCTATGCCACTCTGGCACACCAGGTAATGACAGAGCTGACAGACTGTCAAAGAAAGGAGCAACACAAGAACAACCACCTACGGCGACAACCCTCCAGACAGCAAAAACTCTTATAAAAGCTAAAAACAAAGAGACTTGGTTGAACAAATGGGCCATGGGAGAGACACTGGAAGAGATGTTTATAGACATATGGCTGGCCCTGATCCTAATGACAGCATTAACCATCTAACAAGAAGGGACCAGGACACCATCTTGAGACTTAGAACACAACATACTCCACTCAGTGGACACCTAAACAGAAAACAGTCACAACACTCCCCAGAGTGCCAGCTGTGTAACTACCCCAACAAAAATGTTGAACACCATCTCTTTGAGTGCCCAAAACTCAGTGAGACTAGAAGAATGCAACTCCCTCCCAGACCAGACAAGTGGAACACCTTGTACGGAGGAAAAGAACAGCTTGTGCAAATTCCACTACATGGCATTGGGCAAATTGGCAAAAGCTCATGTGCCGCTGGGTCGATAACAACAACTGTCCAAAGCAAACACTAAACATGTTTAAAAAAGTGCAACATTTTAAATAACAAATATTCTTTGATAGCTGCTATAAATGTTGACGTACAAAAACAAAATATAAAAACACTAGCTATCAAATGTGCAACTAAAAATACAAAATTTCAGCTGTTTATTGTCACAGTTAGTTTTATTTTCAATACAAAAAGCATATAGCTGTTGATCATCCTTATTAATTTTAGCTTTCAAAGTGACAAATCTAAAAAAAAAATAACAAGGGCATTTCCTTACCCTTTTACACATGGATTTTCCAAAGAAAGAAAAACCATCAACTATTTCAGATAATTTTGCTGGTCTACCTCACCTGATATTTATGCAAACTAGTTGAGAGAATAGTTAAAAAACAAGCTATACTGTTTGGTTTGAAGTAAAAGTCTTCAAGCCCACTAGGCACTAGATTTTAGATGCAATTGCTTTATCGATGTGGTGTGAGTCTAACCACATCATCACCTGAGTGACCAATGGTCTACAGAAATATGAATCAGGCATCAGAAACCCTATGTGCCTCTGTCATTAAAAAAACCTCCTTTGCTTCTGCCGTTGCTTGCTGTATAGAGATGATGCAGTCTTATGTTCATACGTAAGGCGACTGCTTGTTTCCAAGAACAGAAGTGCACAACAGCTGTATTTACAGACATCAAATAAATCTATGACAAGTTCTTTAGCAACAGTCTCTTTTTAGAATGAAAGGAGTGAGAGCAGGAGGAACTATGATCAAGTGGACTGGATCTGATTGCCTAGCAGAACCATTTCTTACATACCAGATATGCAGGGAAGCTTTAGGCAAAAGAACTCTAGAAGAATAACTCCAAGATAATTTCCTAAGCTGTGCCCTCTTCCTCAATGTTACTAACGATCTAATGAAACATTTGAGTCCATCACAGTCACAAGCTGTGGATGATTTCATTTTCGGAACCACTGACAAGTATTCCATCTCACTAAAAACCAAGATTAACAGAGCACTCCTTACAAAGTCAGCACACTATAAACTGGAAACAAAATTTAAAATTTTCTCTAATTTTCACAGCACAAATTAACCAAGACCTTTTCCCCTTGTTGACTCCTTGGTCCTATTTTGGGGTGTGGGGGTGAGAGAGAAAGAAACCTACTACCTCCTAATAAGCATACATTAAGAAGTAACTATTTAGAAGTTAGTTGAAACTGGGTATGTTGACCAAAATATTATTGCATACAAGGACTGTGTTATTTTCCTCAGGTTGTGTATTGCTGTTCCCTATCACATAAAAAACCTGTGTTATTGTCCTCAGGTTGTGTATGACTGTCACCTATGGCATACAAGGATTGTGTTATTGTCTTTACTTGTGTATTGCTATCACCTATCGCATACAAGGACTGTGTTACTGTTCTCAGGTTGTGTATTGCTGTCGCCTATCACATACAAGGACTGTGTTACTATCTTCAGGTTGTGAATTGCTGTCGCCTATCGCATACAAGGACTGTGTTACTGTTGTCAGGTTGTGTACTGCTGTCACCTATCGCATACAAGGCCTGTGTTACTGTCAGGTTGTGTACTGCTGTTGCCTATCACATACAAGGACTGTGTTACTGTCAGGTTGTGTATTGCTGTCGCCTATCGCATACAAGGACTGTGTTACTGTCAGGTTGTGTACTGCTGTTGCCTATCACATACAAGGACTGTGTTACTGTCAGGTTGTGTACTGCTGTTGCCTATCGCATACAAGGACTGTGTTACTGTCAGGTTGTGTACTGCTGTTGCCTATCACATACAAGGACTGTGTTACTGTCAGGTTGTGTATTGCTGTCGCCTATCGCATACAAGGACTGTGTTATTGCTGTGTGTTACGCCTATGTACTGCTGTACAAGGACTGTGTTACTGTCAGGTTGTGTATGCTGTCCTACAGGACTTGTGTATTGTTGTCACCTATCGCATACAAGGACTGTGTTATTGTCACCTCGCATACAGGTGTTATTGTGTATTGTTGTCACCTATCGCATACAAGGACTGTGTTATTGTCCTCAGGTTGTGTATTGTTGTCACCTATCGCATACAAGGACTGTGTTATTGTCCTCAGGTTGTGTATTGTTGTCACCTATTGCATACAAGGACTGTGTTATTGTCCTTAGGTTGTGTATTGTTGTCACCTATCGCATACAAGGACTGTGTTATTGTCCTCAGGTTGAGTATTGTTGCCGCCTATCGCATACAAGGACTGTGTTACTATCTTCAGGTTGTGTATTGCTGTCGCCTATCGCAAACAAGGACTGTGTTACTGTCCTCAGGTTGTGTATTGCTCTCGCCTATCGCATACAAGGACTGTGTTATTGTTCTCAGGTTGTGTACTGCTGTCGCCTATCGCATAGGAGGCCTGTGTTATTGTTCTCAGATTGTATATTGTTGTCACCTATCGCATACAAGGACTGTGTTATTGTCCTCAGGTTGTGTATTATTGTCACTTATCGCATACAAGGACTGTGTTACTGTCCTCAGGTTGTGTATTCTTGTTGCCTATCGCATACAAGGACTGTGTTACTGTCCTCAGGTTGTGTATTATTGTCACTTATCGCATACAAGGACTGTGTTACTGTCCTCAGGTTGTGTATTCTTGTTGCCTATCGCATACAAGGACTGTGTTATTGTCCTCAGGTTGTGTATTGTTGTGACCTATCACATACAAGGACTGTGTTACTATCAGGTTGTGTATTGCTGTCGCCTATCGCATACAAGGACTGTGTTATTGTCCTCAGGTTGTGTATTGTTGTCACCTATCGCATACAAGGACTGTGTTGTTGTCCTCAGGTTGTGTATTGCCGTCGCCTATCGCATACAAGGACTGTGTTATTGTCCTCAGGTTGTGTATTGCTGTCACCTATCGCATACAAGGACTGTGTTATTGTCCTCAGGTTGTGTATTGCTGTCACCTATTACATACAAGGATTGTGTTGAGCCCATGAAAACTTACATGGAGAAAGACAGCAGAAAGGGAAATGAGGGAATGTAAAATGACATTAGATACCATAGGCAGAAAAGCAGCCAACTGGCAACAATAGAGATGCCTTGTGAATGCTATATGTGTTACCAGTAATATGAAGACGATTTAGAGGGAATCATTAAAACACTACTAAAATTAATGCTGTATTAAAACATTTTAAGTCAGTGCTATCCTACTCACCCATAGCAATAATTCTCCCGCCCGAGTGTTGCTCCACTGGATCTTGGAAGTGTACTGATAACAACAAATGCAATGGGGTGAGTTATGGCAAAAGTTGTAAAGAGTCAGATTTACAATTAGAAATGAAACAATATACAATAAAACGAGAGAATCGTCATTAACTAACAACAACAAAACCCAACAATCCACAAGTACATCTTTAAAAAAAATGGTATTTAACTCAAAAATGTGAGTTTCTGAGTTTTCTCCTCAGAATATAAAAATATTCACATTTATCTGTTTCTCTTGTGAACGAAACAAAACAATTAATAAACCTGAGAATCATGAGATCATATCTTCAGCTGGCCAGGAGTGATACAGTTAAAAATATAAAATCGAATGTGGAAATGATGTGTGTTGTAAGTGTAAGTATCTATGTCAAGAAAATAAACTCCTACAGAAACAGAACATAAATAGGGACATGAACAAAGCAGCAAAGAGGAAGAAATGTATATGAATATCAAGTAAACAAACTGAAAGATAGGAATGACAGACAAAGAAAGAATTTAATATTTTACTAAAATTGTAATAAATACTTTGAGAGTGGGAATATGCTCAGAAACCAGAAAATAAAGCAGTTTTCAAGTTTTTTCTACTATCAAGAGCAGCCATGAATTGGACACTAGACAAGCCGTAACGTAGAAAGGTATTGTTGCACTGTTAAATGGATAGTAACTGGTTGGTTCATGTGCATGACTGTTAATATTTAGAAGTTTTATCAAAATCTGTCAACCAAGTGGAGGTCTGCTTCACTGATGTATTTCACAGATCAATATTTACAGAGGACGGCAAAAAACATATTCTAGTTTGTGTAGTATCACCCTTTTCAAAATCCATGCAATGTCTGTCCACAGCCTTATGTCTCCTATACCTTCAGTATTTTTTTTATACAGATGTTCATTCCATCCCATGATGCCAAACTGTTCAAAATCTATGTTTCATGCCTCCCTCTACCTCTAACCCCTTCCAACCTTCCCTTGTTAAGACTGTTTCTGATTTTCTTTTCTCACAGTGTACATAAAGGAACACCCTTGCAAGTGATAAACTGACACAGAGGAATACCACCATTGAAGTCTGTGGCACAGATCCTAATGCAGGATCTAACTCTTTGAGTCTCAGGGGGTTAAGCATCACAGGCCCAGGGGGTTGTAAAGAAAGTAATAAAATCGGCGCATAATGAGTTCATTGGGCTTCTAGGTAGGAACCTATGAACGTATGAAGCGTTCCTTGGGACTCAAAGAGTTAAACTAGCAACAGTGCTTGAAGCAAACTCAGAAAGTTATCGAAGACACTTTTGATAGGATTGTTCTTGACATTATGACCACACCTATATGCCAGTAGAAATCCTCTGGAGAATAAAAGACTATCTCATGCACTGGGTCTGCTTCTTATTATAATTAATAGCATGTAGTGTTGGTAGCCAGGTCCATAACCTTCTGTCACAAGTACTTTAAGTAAATTCTGACACAGATGATCTTCCATGCTGTGATGTCAAACTGTTCAGTATCTTTTTCTCTCAGTCGCCTTCTGCCTTTTTTCCTCTCCCAGCTTTCCCACAGTCGTGATGTACCCCAGTTTTCTCTTTCTTATGAAATGATCAAAGAATTTAGATTGTCTCCTTCTAATGTGGGCAATCAGTTCTCTTTATGAGTCAGTTTCTCTGTTTAATCTGTCCAGATTGTTCTCATCATTCATCTATAAACCACATATCCACAGCTCTTACATAATTTTTCCACTAATCATCATGCTGTCTATAATTCACTTCTGTACATCAGGATAGGATTTATAAGTAGCTCTTGAGAATGTTCTCTCTCACCACAACTGACAAAGAAATATTGCATACAATATTCTTCATTTTGTGAAATAGTGCCTTTGCTTGAGCTATTCTACATTTTTCTTTTTTAATACCTTTTCCATTTATATTTAACTTTGCATTTTGGAGGGTGCAATTTATTTATAATTGCCACTGCTTCTATTTTTCTGCTGTCTGAACTTAGACACTTGTTTTGGCTTTCTGATAGTTATGTCCATCATTTCTAGCAGCTGTTTCATTATCAGTAATCATAACAATGAAGGAATAGAGGATGGGAAAATGTCTTCCTCTTCATATTTACTGCTGTAGACTCTGGCAGAAAGTTCTGGTTGTTCATCCACTTCTGAACTTTTATTCTTGTCCCAGAACTTGAGTTTTGCATGTGTGGGTTCCGGGGCCCCATTGTGGGGAAAACAAGAATAGACCCACTGCCTCCCAAAAAGCATGTCGTAAGAGTCGACTAATTGGGTAGCTTCTTTTGAAGTCGGAGTGCATCTGCCGGAGAGGCAAGGAACCAACAGTCTGTATTCAAGAGAATGAGATCTGTAAAACTGATGCACACGTAACACTCAGGTTCTGGAGCAGGACTGCAGTTCAGTAGTGGACGATCAACCAGAACCTTCCGCCAGAGTTTACAGCTGGTGAACGCGAAGAAGAAGAAGAAGAAGAAGCATGCACATCCATTTTACGGATCTGTGCTATTTGTATGCAACTGCTGGTTAGACCACTCAGACAGATGTATTCTCACTTTGAAGGAAACACAGTTAATTAGTCCAATGAACAGGTCTACTGCTCTGTTGTTAATGCTTGACAGAAAAACTCCTCTGCATAACCAACAGAATGTTACAGATGAAACTACAGACCCGGAAAGGCTAACCCGGGAAACAAATGCCTGCAGAAGTCAAATCTGTCAGCTGAAAGAGGCAAATATCACAGCCATGTTGTAAACAGGCCAAACACATTTGGTCCGATAAACTTTGATGAAGGCAGAAGAAGAAAATACTGCAGACAAAATAGGTTTAGGATAATCGAAAAATCAAGAGTAATTGTGTCAACATGATAAACATACTTGCAAATCTTCAAACTGACAGAAACATTAATGTTGTGAGAAAAAGTAATGTAAGACAACTCTGCACACACTTCTATTTCTTATCATAATATTGCAAGCAGGATGAGAGTTTTATCTACTTACCTGTTTCACCGTCAAATTTATATCCTTTTGAAATTAGGTTCTTGTATCTTAAAAGATCAGGTAGCACGTGCGATGAAAGACTTTCAGCCTTGCCCTCAGCTAGATTTATGGAAAATGGTCAGCATGAAATCATCTACAGTTGAGTAACTTTCTTTTTTTCCTCTCTAATTATACTCTGTGTATTCTTCAGTTTAAAGGAATCACAGTTGTCAGCAGACTCAGTACGACTACCACTTTCTTTAAACGTTAGTAGGTTGACATATTGAGGTTTATGAAGATAAAAATTGAGAAATAAAAATACAGAGTTTTAAGTAACTCAAGTTAAACATATTATATTTCATATTTTCTTATATCATCATGATCAATTATTGGCAAATATAATAAGCTCTGTGAGCTGAGCACAATATATTTTCAGCAGAATAGATAAATCAGGTGAAATACTTTTTAAGTATATGCTTTTATACCACATTTCTCCCAGATTAACGGTACCTATAATGGAATCAAGGCCGAAGGGTTGCGATATCCATAGTACCGAGCCAAAGGGTTTACAACTCATGGTTTCTGGATACGTAAAAAAAAAAAAAAAAAAAAAAAAAAAATATCTTCTTCTCCTTGATTTCTCTTTTAGCCTGATTCTGCACCCCACTAACTCACAGATTCATGTGTCTATTTATGGTTCATTTCCTCTAGACATTTTCCAACCATATTTTATTAGACTTTATCCATCTGTAGGTTTTTGTTTCTGATAATGTTAGATAATAAAGCTAGATGTTGTAAGGGCAATTTGGGTGTGAGTTAACAGTGCAGAAGCACAGATGGATTTTCATGGTTTGAAGAGAATGTGGTACTGGGAGCAATGACCAAGGGATTTGATCGACGATCGGCATTTAAGCGAAAGGTGAGATGAATATCAGTCAGACTGCTATTGGTACCACTGGAATTGAAACTGTGTGTGCTGATGAAGATGGGGATGCAGGCAGTTTTATGGGAATGTACCGAGTACTGTGTGATAATATGGTCCTTGATTTACCATCATATGCTGTCAGGTATCAAAATGTCTGCTTTTATTTGTTTTCTAGCGTTATTGATGAGATTCTTAATGCTGTTTACCCTCTGATTTGCTATGACCAGTTTCCTTGTGATACCACCAGTGCTCCCTATTGAAAATGCTTACATTATAATCCTGATTTGTAGTTCTCAAGGGCTATCTATTACTAACATTGCCTTGGATCGTATATTCAGTTAAAGGTAATTTGTTTTTAATGTTTGTTGCAACTCAGTAAATAATGTATATAAGACTTTCTTTCTGGATTGCAAAAAAAGCTAGTTTTTTTGTTTTATTAAAGTAAACATTTCCCTTGGTTAAAAATAGTTTACTTTCTGCCAACATTGCATCCTGATTAAAAGCAATGAAAACTAAAATCACTCGCAAGTGAACAATGTTCACAAATGTCAAAGATCAGCATTTTACAACAGACTGGGACAAGAGTACTTGTACTGAACTACAGTGTATATTTTTTTGACACTTCTATAAACGAATCTCCTTCTGACACCAGGATGGACTCGGCTGATAACTAAAACCCACAGAAGAAGCTCAACCAGCCTAGACCTAATCCTAGACAGTCCATACACACAGTGTTAAATGATGGCTTGATTACATGCCTCTCCAGAGATGTGAAATTCCAGTATCAATCTCGCACACCTCTTAGATTTTTGACCTGGCAGAGTGGAAGCAGAGCTTTCTCAAACAGCTTTGAGGAGATGGTACTTTGATTCAGAGTTAGGAAGAAAGTCTCTATGCTAACATGACACCCATAGATGCCAGCCCTTTTCAGAGTTCAAACAACTTGAATGAATATCCTTTGTACCTGTGAGTTGAAACTCAGTCTTCCAAAGGTAACTAGAAGTGCCAAATTTGATAATGTTCAATATATCCCAGTTGAAGATCAATCAATAGAATTAGCACAAATAATTGAATTCTATTTAAATAGTGGGATCCCAGCTAGCACAGTGGCTAGACTCTTGCCTGTTAGCCAATAAAAGGCTTGGGTAATAATTTGCACTAACAGATTTGTTTCTTTATTTCGGTAACTGACCTTGTCTCTTAGGTTGACATAGCTTAAACTGGATACTAGGAACTGTCCTGGGAAGTAACAGTAGGTAACATGAAGGTGACCATGTCACCCATCCAAGTGCTGATTGGTCTATAGAAATATGAGCCATATGCCTGATGTGCCAACAGTGTGAAAGGGGTTCTTTATTTGTTACTACTATTTAAACTATGTGTTATGTCATCTCTCCTCTTCAACCTTGTGACTGACTGGATACTAAAGAACACAGTAGACAGGACATTGAGAGACATACAATGGACTCCATTCACCATGCTTGAGGACCATGATTTTGCAGATGATATAGCACTCTTATCACATAAACATGAACATATACAAGAAAAAAGTAACAGACTACACAGCAAAGCAGAAATGGTGGGACTGAGAATAAATACAAAGAAAACTAAGATCATGACAAGCAGTCCAAACCAACAACCAGTGACCATAAATAACCAAACTCTTGAAAATGTTTAACATTTCACATATGTTGGCAGTGTGGTGTCCCTACCAAGAGGGGCCGAAGAAGACATACAGTCACGTCTGAACAAAGCTAGAGCTGTTTTCGGAAGGATGAGGCAAATCTGGAAATCCAACAATTACTGCAGAGGAACGAAACTCAGACTACAAGTGCATCATTTTGACTATTTAAACAGTTCAGTGCAACAGTATTACAACATTCATATCTGACAAAATAACTGAAAAAAATATACATCATTTCATTTTCATTCTTTCTTACTATAGTAATTATAAGTTGTGCTGAGTCCAATTTAATTTGAAACCTGATATTTGTGCTTTTCAACTGCCATATCCCACTACAATACAATATTTACAGTACATGGTCTGCATTTCCTCATAGACTCAACTTTAAGTACAAGTGAAAGACTTGATGTTTTGCCTCAAGGCTTATTGAGTATATGATGCCAGTCCCATACTGTTACTGACAAGGCTGACACTGTCAATATCATACCCAATTCCTTCACTTCCCAGGACTCTTCATGGTGTCTATTTTAGGTTGAGCTGACCTGGAAGCCAAGGCTCATTTTAATAATCCCTCTCAATGAGAATTCCAGCTGATAACCACTGAGTCGACAGGTAGGCTTGATTCCCAAATAAAAGTGAACAGAAACAAATAGAATAATAACATTTTTATTTCTAAAATTAGAAAGAAACTGCTTACCACCAAGAACTTCATCCAGTCTTTCATTCACTCTGCTCTCCTGACGTTCTGCTACAGAAATATACATTTATTAAGTTTATTAAGTTCACTTAAAATGTGAGCTATGACATCTCTCATTATCAAAATCAAAAACTAGAATTGTTTACTCAAAGCACAATGATATATTTTATAAAATATTTTAATATTTTGTTTACTCCCATCAACAAATGTAGGCATCATAAGGAAAACCAAATAGATAAAAAAAAATTATGCTTAATTAAACAAATTATGGCATGGAAAATTCTACCACCTGCTGCTTTTTGAGCAGCCAACTCTGACTTGATGACTCCATTTTGGTCAATTATGACTCTATTTAAACAGGTTGACCTGCTCCAGTGCATCTTGTCCCATCATAAACTGATGTTTCTTCTCCTTTCCTGAGAACACCTTGGTTTTAATTTCAGAGACACTGATGGTTTTCCTTCTCTTCTCAAGCTCTTCCTTCCACACAAGTGAGTTGGATTAAAGATGTGCTTCTGATTTAGCTATCAGGACCACATCATCTGCAAATGCCAGCTCGGATATGCAGGTTGGTCTCATATTTGGGTAACCCACAAAGTAAATCTGTCTTCTCCTTACAGGTCTTGATGGCATCATCCAACAGAATAAGAAAGAGGTATGTGAGAAAATATCTCTGTCTAACATCCCTAGTGGTCTTAAATTCTTATGACTTTTGGTTTCCTGTTCTTACATAATTTCTGCAGAGTTGATCAGGGTTGCTGGAAAGGGAAAGTTAGCCTGATGAACAAATGCTAGAGGAAGTTGGATGTGTTGGCTGAAAGGCACAAATATCGCAGCTTTGCTGTAAACAAGCACAGCACAATTACATCATTCAGACAAATGAAAAGAAGAAGATATTTGTAGGAAACTTATTATGGTGGTTCTGGATCTGAGGTTTTTGACTGTATGATTGCTATATACTCCCACCCAAATCTGTGTGGCTAGCATGTTCTGTGTTCACCTATTTCTTGAAGCTGTACTCTGGCATAATGAAACAAGAACCTCATATTTAGTAAAACTGTTTCTTAATCAATATATCTCATGCTATATTTGTAACATGCTCGCAGTTCAAAAAATTATCTGTGTATGTATGAATATGTACATACGACAGAGAGAGAGAGAGAGAGAGAGAGAGAGAGAGAGAGAGAGAGAGAGAGAGAGAGAGAGAGAGAGAGAGATAGAGAGAGAGAGAAAAAGAGAGAGAGAGAGAGTGAGAGAGAGAGAGAGAGAGAGAGTGTGTGTGTGTGTGTGTAAAAAAAGTGGTGAGGTTGGGGGAGGGGAGGGGGGGGGGGGGGAAGAGAGAGATAGAAAGAGACAGAGAGAGACAGAGAGAGAGATCAAGAAAGAGAACTAGAAGGATTGGAGTAACTTACATTGTCAACCTTAAATCAACTGTTGACAGGCGCAGTGGTTTGCTATGCTGTAATATTCTTTGCATGGCCTATGACATTATACAGTTCTGATTACTTTGTTTTATTAAAACGAGACAAAGAGGAATTGGAGACAACCTGGAAACAAACTGCTTTATATTACGACAACAGAATATTTTTTCTGGAATAAGAGGTAGAGGAAGAGAGATTTTTGTCACAAAATGAGAAGGTTGTCAGAACGCCATGATACATGCTGTAGGAGATCACAAGATGCTGACAAGCATAACTGTTCATGACAGCCAGCAAGGAATTTGATGATGATGATGATAATGCTGGAAATTTTTAGACATAGAAGTCATTTCATATGATACTGGCCACTTCACCCACTGAGTGCCGACTGGTCTATGAAAATATGGGGCCAACACCATATGTACAAACTGCCCCCGAGGAAAGGGAAATTGGTCCTTTTAAATTTGTTCACAGAAGAAGAAAACTTTAAGGTTGCTGTGCAGCTTACCGTTCTTGGTGTCCATTATCAACTCAGGCTGAGTCTGAGACCTTACTAATTGGACTGAAAGGAAAGAAAGAGGAAAATGTTAGAATGTTATAAATACATTGCTGTGAGCATCCTTTATGCATCATTCTAGGACTAGCAGCCAGTCTTGTAATTAAAGCACTGAAAGATTATCTGCAGAGATGATAGTTACTAAATAAAGTAGATACTTTAGTCAGCATCTTCCCAAATGATTTAAAGTAATGCAACTAGTGTAGCTGCACAGCTCTTGAAAAAATGCAATCCAACGACACTTCATTCAAGTCTCTAGGTCACTTCAGCCAAGATATTAATTTGAAGTGTAACATGATATAAATAAGAAGAAAAAAAGGTAGGAAAACACCTCAGCCCTTTAAGAACATGCACCCTAATACTTAAATTATTGCACTTTTGTGTGTGTGGACATATCTCTTAGCAACCGTTTATCAATATGTTCAAGACAACCAAACATAAACAAGTATATAATTGTGAAATATTTTGTAATTTAATCACATTAATGTTAACAGTCAAGTCATTATCCTTCGCCTTAGGACAGGGCACAATCGACTTCGCTGCCACATGTACAACAAATTTAAGATTGGCCAATCAGCCATGTGTACTTGTGGACTGGCACCTGAAACAACAGATCATATTCTTTAAGACTGTCCCAGATTCAACGTTTTCAGACAAAACTTTTGGCCAAAAGAGACACTTGTTTTAAGTCAAACTTTACGGGCCGCTTGGTGAATTACAAAAGACAGTGAAATTCATACTAGAGACAGCATTGCAGATACAGATAATTTATTTCATGCAAACGAAAGAAGAAGAAGAATGTTAACAGTGGCTGTCTGTCCATAGAATTATAACCAAATAATGAAACATGATGTTAAAGATAAACTTGAGCATCATAGAAACAGTGTTGCAGTTAGGTGTGCAACATTTGAAGATGCACAGGACTGCACCACTTTGACAGCAACAAAAATTTTTTTTTTTTTAAACTGGTATTAGTGACTGTATTTCTACTTTTGCAGTGTTGGCAGGAAGGACTTTGAGCCTGAGGATATGAGGCTGCATGGTTAGTGGTCCACATGGACAATGTAGGCTAGGGTTGTATTTTTAGCAAGATATAGCTAGTAGTAACAAGATTAGTATTTCTACTGCTGATATCATTGTGAAACCCACATCTGATGCGTTTTGACATTACAACTGTATGGCACTATTAGTGTTTCACTTCATCTAACTGTATGGCACTATTAGTGTTCCACTTCATCTTCAGATGGCAGTACCTATATAACAACTGAACCATGTAGGCAGATACCCACATGGCCAACTGCAAAAGAGCACAAAGATTTCAAAATTGGATACTGCTGATGTGTGTGTGTGTTCTTATTCATATAAGGTGTTGTTGATGTTGAATGTTCAATGTTGTTCTCAACCTAAAAAGCTAAGGCATTTTACACAAGGATTTTTAACTGCTCACAGTGAAGTTATTGCTGTACTTAATACATCCTAAAGTGTATTCAGTTTTCAACGTTCAACAATATTTTCATATGGCAGTTTTTCCCTCCCATTATGAAATAATATTTTATAGTAGTTCATGGTATAGATGGACAATCTAGGTTAAGTGGTGGTGCATGTCATAAGATAAAGAAGAAAGATAGAGGGTAAGCACAATATTACAGAAAATATATTTAATGGACTCAAATTGTAAAGGTAAAAACAAAGGTGAATGGTGCAGATCTGAAAATGTGGGTGAAATTATAGTTTAAAACAGTAGACAATTTGGAAGTTAAATATAATGCCAGATGGTTGTGTGAGATCTACATTCTCTCTGGCAGTGTTTTGTGAAAATTTTTTTTTTCAAGTTATGATAAATTTTATGGGGAAAATACTGACTAGATTCATGATTATTGATATACATTTGTATTAATCTAAACATGTTACATAAAACAACTGAATAATTTTTAATAGTTATAACAGGATCTTCTAATTTAGCTGCTTTCTGCTTTACATGTATGCATGTCGTATTAAATATGAGTGAATCCAGATATGGGGGATGTTATGGCCACACTGATTGACGGCTCAATTATTCAGATCAATCTCTTGTAATTGCCCATGCATGACTACTGTCAAAACTTAACAGACTGGAACAGCGGTCTACAAAGTGGATTACGAAAAAAAACACTTCCAAAATAATGTACACCATCTTCACCTATCAAATAAGCAACATTTAATGTGCCAGAAAATAGGAGGACATACCATGCAACAAGACAATGAACCCACTTATCTAGGTGTTATCTTCGATTCAAGACTAATAGGGAAGCCGTAAGTTAACAAACAAATAAAATAAATTTTAAAAAAAAGGACTATACTGGTACAAAAATATTAACCTAGCAGAATCAGAGTGGGGAGTTTTACTCAATATACTTACATGGAATACGTTCACCAAGTGTCAGAATATTGTATATCAGCACTGGAAAGAAAAGATCTGTAAGCTACTATCTGAAAACTAGAGATTTTTAAAAAAAGCACGTCAACTATGACTGGTGGCCTACACTCAACACCAAGTGCAGCGTTGGAAAACAAGGTCAGGCTTGCAGTCCAGCAAAAATTCAAAGTTGCTCCAACAATACTCCAAATTTGAATCAAAACTATTTCTGCCCATAAACATTTTAAACAAACATGATACAAGCAACAGATTGCACAGTTTATTGCAATAAACAGTTGTCTGCATCTTGTCAGGTGCATATTACAGTAATAATTTAATAAACTAGCAAATAAGTAAATCCTTTACAACCGAAGTACAAATTCCACCACTCTCAAAAGCAACTGCCTGTTCTACCTGGACAAGCACAAGTTCACTAGCATGTCTTTCTGTTTGCATAATTATGGAGGAAGTAATGAATAGTTTAACAAAAAATGAACTATGACATTTTTAGCATGTTACCTAGTAATGGACATACTTTTGTTTTCAAGAGGTTAAGAGTTGGGTACTTCGAGTGAATATTCCCTGTGTGGGTTCCGGAACCCCATTGGGAGGAAAATGAGAATAGACGCACTGCCTGCCCAAAAGAGCATGTCATAAGAAGTAACTGGGAGCTTCCTTCAAAGTCAGAGTACATTTGCCTGAGAGGCAAGGAACCAGCAGTCTGTATGCAAATGAGTCAGACCTATCAAGTGAATGTGCACGCAATACTCAGTTTCTAGAACAGGACTAGAGTTTAAAAGTGGACAAATAACCAAAACTTTCCACCGGAGTTTAGAGCCGGTGAATGCGAAGAAGAAGAAGAGTGAATATGATTCTATAAAATATCACTAAATGAAACATTTAGCACCAATAATTACTTCACTTCTGTTGCATTCACAACACCTATGGCATCATGCATCATCCAGGCTATCAGAAAGCTTACTATAAGGTAAGTGCATGCAAAGCAATGAAACAAAATGAGGATACAATCTATATACTCTGTTTCTAATAAGATAAAAGTGTATATCAAACCTCCATCTATAATCACTGTGGTAGCTGAAGAAGTAGTATTAGACATCTGGTCTGTTGCATAAGTAGTGTTTTCTATATTCATCTTCCAGGAATCTTCACTTTTCATGAAGACGGCTCCAGTACTCATAGTCTTATTACAGACAACAGGACCTTTACTGGGCCATTTGTGGCCCTTATTTTGTATTTCAAGGGTCTGAACCTTCCATGTATATGCAAGAGGTCCCCTCGAACATGTTGGACAATGAAGCTGAATTGATACTTTTCTGTGAAAATTTACTGTATTGTGAAAGCACTGAGAACACTCCAGGAAAAGGCTGCAGAATAGAAATTGAAAAGTAAATTCAGATATTAATGTAGTTTCAGTACTGCAATTTTCATATTTCAAGAAATGATTCACAATAATTTTGACAGTTTTCAGAACACAAACAGCCAATACATTTTATTTTAATCTAGTTCCTGAATTACAAGTTACTTTTTAAGATTCTATGCAAATGGAGGACACCCAGAACTATTCAACATAAAATCTACAACACAAGGCTGTGTCCTATCACCCCTACTCTTCATAACTTACATTGGTAACATCTGTAAAGAAACCAACCTGACATGAATATAATACACAAAGAAGAAGAAGAAAAACCAAAGCCAAACAGTCTCATCAATGAACTACTATTTGCAGACAAACAAGCACTAACTCCTACTTCAGAAACTGAACTGCAAGACCATCCAAATTATTTAAACAAAATTTGCAAAGTGCATAACATGAAGATTAACACTAACAAAACATGTGATCATGACCTCAGCCAAAGTAAACAAAACATACCCAGCTTACAGAAAACCCTCTGAAACAAACCAAAAACTTTAAATATTTAGGAAGCACAACATCAGCCAGCAAAACAGAAGATGAGATCAATGACAGACATAACAGGGCAAAACCAACCTCATTGGGCGAATAGGACCAATACTAAGAAACACATATGTGTCAGTAGAAACCAAAAGAACGCTTTACGATGATCTTCTTGCTAAACAACCTGTGCTACTAATGCCATACCTGACGCCCCCCCCCCCCATCTTTCAAAAAAAAGAGAGAGGAAAACAATTACAACTTAAATGAGATTCCTAAAAAGCATTCTCAAAATAACAGTAAGAGACAAGATCAGGAATGATGAAATCTGAAGGAGAAGGGGAGCAGCGGCAGCTCTGGATTTTATTAGAAGACATCAGGTAAAATGGTTTGGTCATATAACGTGGACGTAGCAAACAGTATACAGCAGCAAGCAATGATGTACAGACCAGGTAGGAAGTGAAGAATAAGCCGACTATGCAAATGATGGACAGAGGAAATAACATATTCTCTGGGAATCCCTATTTACGAAGCACACAACTGAGCACTTTCCCGTAAATTATACTTCACCTCGACACCGCAAATTACCTAAGCATCAAGAGGAAATGAGATAAGATGAGACTAAATTACATGCCAAAGACAAAACTGAAATATACTTATTTATGTGAAACTCGTGTATAAATGTATATGTATAAAAAA